TAGATGGTCAGTATCCACCAAGCTTCGCGCTGCCCGCCTTGGCCAGTATCAGCCGGATTCTTTTGGTTGGCTTTGAAGTGATGTGTTTCGGTTTGCCTTGAAGCGGCGTGTTTTTTGAGTGGGTGAGTCGAGAAAGAGCTGCTTTCCAAGATGTAGGGAGCTGACTACGGTCCAGGGTCAAGAGGCTGGGCTTCAAGGGGCTGGTGCTTGGTGAAGCCTGGCCAGCCGCCGGCCAGCCGAAATCGCGAAAAACTGGTGGGCCAGGCAGCCGTTTGGAAAGAGCCATTGATCTCAAGAGGAGTTTGACTGCTTTCCCGGCCCTGGCGGCCCAATCCAGTTGTTCAGCTGGTGGCTTTCAATTTTGGTGTTTTTCCTCACCCCATCAATGGCCAGTAAAAGGTCGCCTGATGGAAAGGCGCCGGTTGCAGCTACGTCCTTAAACAAACACACGAAAAAGCGATTCATTGCCGGGCAATGCCCGATTTTGCGACGGTTTGAGGTCCAGGTTGCTTCAATCTTGGCCACGGCCAGGGTGGTGTGAGGCTCCCATTGATTGCTTCTTTTGGGGTCGGGTTTCTTGTGAACTTCAACTGTGTTTTCTTCTCTCTTGTGTTTCTATTTCGGGGGGGGGGGTTCACAACAATCAACTGCGTTGCTTAAAGCAGAAAGGCGGGATGGGCGGCGGGGGTGCAATCAAAGTTAGTCAGTGAGAAAGGGGGTCGTTTTTTGCCCATGACTCGAGATTCACTGGCAGGCGGAGCCGCTATGGTTTGCAATGATAGCAGCGATGATGATAGCTTCGAGTGCTTGTCCTCCAGCGGTGACCGCAAGAAGGGAGAGTACGAGGACTGCGGCAGAGCTCAGAAGGTGCTGGGGTCGTACCCTTAATGTGCCTCCCTCTGTGGTGTCGAAGTAGGGCTAAATTCTCAATTTGCCCTCATGACCTTGGGGCCTGCGGAAGAACAAACCAGCGCAGAGCTGCTGTGCAGCCTGCAGACAGAGTTTTGCTCAGCAGGACGATTTGAGTGAAGCTCCCACGGACTGTGTCGGCCGTTTGGCCACCCGCCGTCTTGTTTTCGGGGGATCGATGTTGTGCGTCAAGGTGCAAGCTCTTGTTACGGGTGCCTCTTCCTCGTTGAGAGTTTAGGTATGCTTAGATGGCCGGATTGCGAGTCAGGAGCTGGAAATGCTGACAGGCCGGCGGGAGGGGCATAAACAACTCACCAGATGCGACGTCTCAAGAAGTTCCATACCTTCTCGTGTCTTAGGGAGTCGCAATCAGGGAATTTCCACAAATCAGCAAAGTGAAAGAGCAGGAGACTTCTAAGCCCCAAGAAACTCCTGCGTCCGTCTGGCCAACTGTGTCCGCATCAGACCACCAGCATGGGGTTCACCTCGTTTCCTCAGCAATTCTTTTGCAGTTCCTGCCAAAGCCGACCAAACAGCCGGTGCCCCCCCCAAAAAAAGCAAGAGATTGGCGCAATAGGCACGAGACATTTTGTTGCACCTTTGCTGCTTACTCAGCCCTGAAGGCAATGGCCATGTGTCGCACGAGCCGAACAAGTGCGGCCAGGCAGGTGACATGGTGCCGTACATCTAAGACGTACGGTTCCCCCCCCAAGGAAAGTTGTCTCCACGCCTTGAAATAGGGTCTGTAGTCAAGAATTGTTCATCATGTAAAAGCTCTTATGTGTATTTGTAGGAATATATATATATACATACATCCCCTGAAAGGTGGTGTGAGAGTTTGCGAAGTGCTCGAACGCTCTGTGAATTGAGGCAACCGGTTCCGTTTGTTCCACCGGCCCGCGGCGTATGGGCGCCCCGATGTCAGCATGTAATTTGCTTGCATGGGCTTAAGGTGATGAGATGTGTTTCCTTGTTCGAGCTGGAGGGGGCTGATGACTGGTACCGCGCACGAATGTGGGAGTCCTGTGCCAAACGCAGTCTCGCCAACAAAATCCTGCGAGGCGATCGCGGCCAAAGTCTGGGAGTGGCGATACTTCTTGGTCATAGCCTGGCCGTTGATGGCCTTGATAATGGCACCCTTTGCATATCAATTGGTGCCGTGGCCTGCAATTATACGCAAGAGAACCTTGAGAGGTTTGCATTTACATTTTTGCAGGAGCACTCAAACAATTGGGTCCCCGCGTCCAATGGGGAGCACAGACCAGTGTCAAGACTTTCCAGTGCCTTTTTCCTAAGAGGCGGTAAAGGCAAGCGCCCCAATCAGGTCTTGGCGCAAACTTGGGCCGTTCAACGGGATCTTTTGTGCTACCGTCATGAGTCATGCGGTTCGATGTTAATGCTAGCCTTTGTTGCCTGGCCGTGCAGATGGCCTCTCGATGTTTCCTGCTAATCACCAATGGAACCCATGGGTTCAAGATTGCCGGTTTGCCAAGCACATGCGCCTTTCCAATTTGACACTAACATTGAACCTGCGATCAACCTCTGTGGATGGAAACCACTGACAGTGCTGCACAAGCATCTGAAATTGCCTCAAACACGTGATACGTCAGTAGACCTGTCCCTCGGTTTCCTGGGGAGATTGACCATGGTTTTCACTATAGGTTCTCCCCCTCGTTTTCACTCAGAAGTCGTCGAGTGTTTTGGTTGCAAAAGCATCGACCAGCCCATGGCACCTCTGCTTCGTACCGCGCAGCAGCCTGCACTTGAGTCCAGAGGTCTTAAACGGCAGGGAAGCATCCAAAGCAACACAAACTGCTGCGCGGCAAAGTGGATGTAACAATTTGCCAAGAACCCACGGTTGGCCACGTAGCACTTGTGAGAACTGGACCAAACGTGGGTAAAGAAGCTCGATTGGGCTACAACTGGGATACGATCGGAACTCAGCTGCGCGTGGGTCACGGGCACAGTTCACAACACATCCCTTGCCATGCCTGTCCAAACCACTTGTCCTACAAAGGAGTTGATTGCCTGACAAGCCTCAAACGAGCGTATTAATTCATTACTAAATATTAACAAATGTGGAGAATTCATTATAAAAGTTCCACTTTCAAATTTGTTATTACATATTAAACCATCTTTTATATTTTCTATTGCAGAATAGCTTATAAATTAGTTATTAATACTTCTTGGTAAATCCCATATTATGTTATGTTCGTCAGGATTATGTTATATTTTATCTTTATTATATATATTGAATTAATAAAATCATTTTTCCGCCGTTTGTTGTTATTGCTTTATATTATGTACTAGATGTTGTGTAAATTGATTTTTTCCGATACATCCTTCAGGGTCATATATCCATATTACTAAAAGTCTTGCTGGCCGCGCCCACTAGCCCAGCCACGCTCTTCATTTGGCCTCACTCACTTCCCTGGCAGTTCCATGACTCACAACCTTTGCCAGCCGCAAGAGATAGACACGACAGAGAAGGCCGAAACCGTCCCGGTACTCATTTGCCCAAAGCCGTTTGTTTCCCTGGTTTGGTCCATTTTTAGTCAAGGGTCCTTTGGGCAACTGAGCACAATTGCGGTTGCTCGTAGCCAAGAAGTTGGGCCTTTCGGACAAGTCGTCGGTGTGGCCGGAGCGACGGCTCGAGCGGAGTGAGGTGGTGAACGCCTTGCCGCTTCCAAAGAGTCCACCGCATGGCACGGGCAGCGCGCTGGCCGAGGACCTTTTTGAGGACTGGAATTGGGAGCGAGCCGTTTTTTGTTCTTCATTTTTTCTGTGTCAACTAGGCTCAAACGGAGGGGGTAAGGGCTACCCTCCCTAACTGTACCCCAAGCAAGCAAAAGGAGCCTGAAGGGCGGCATAGAGAAACATGGGCGTCCAGGGGTAGCATACGGGTTCCCGATGTATGAATGCCCCGCAAGGAGACGAGTTGAATTTGCGTTGCTTGCGTTTCAAGGTCAAATTCAACCTTCTAGCCCAACAAATGGTATCCCTCAAAAGGCTCCTCAAGTGGGCATTCAGGCTGTTCTGGGAGGGTTCCCGTGCTAGGGCAATTTAAGTCAATTGCAATTTGGCCCTAGCGGTTTTTGGAAGACCAATGCATCCAACTATTTTCCAATAAAAAGGGAAGGTTAAAAGCCAAATCAGGTCGACTTCTCTGCCAGTACAAGCCGAGCTAGAGTAGCACATCACGGAGTCGGGTGTCTTATTTCACCACGGTAAACAGTACGTTAAGGACCGCGTGCCAATTGACGAGCAGGCATTTGATGGAAATACCAATGGCAGAGGGGCACAGTTTGGCACACGCACTGGGAGAAGGCAACGGAAGAGACAACTACATTCCGGAACAAGCAGGAGGAAAGAGTGATGCAACGACCCAAGTGCTTGAACACTAGAATCCAAGGCAGGCAAGCTGTGGAAGAGGCATTCCCGTTTGGTCACGGTGCAGAGTTCGTGCGGCATTTGACTGCAGATTCTGCAAATACCACGAATCCCCAATATCCAGCACTTACTTCATGAAACCAGCAAGCAAGTGAGCAAGTAAGCAAGCAAGTAAGCAAGCAAGTAAACAGGCAAGCAATGCACCGACAAGTTCGCAGCGACAAGTGCGTGTGTGGGAACATGGACCCCAGACAGATCTACGCGACTCGATCACATGCTAGCACTGTGCAGGTGGAGCAACGCTGTAGTTAATGCGAAAATCAGGCTCCAGGCTTGGCATTGCCTTTGACCCAGCCCACACGGTCTAAGCGTGGCAATCGTGGCAATCAGAATCAAAACTGCGCGAGCAGAACAAGCAAAGTTGCTCCCGAACTCACAGATACAGGAAGATCCTGTATATGATATGGGACACATATGCAGAAGACCACCGCACCACCCGCAGCATCGGCAAACATTTGCTACCAACGCCGTAGTGCCAAGAACTGTGGACGACAGAAGGCTGGGGAGACCAGAAACGATGAAAGCTTGTTGGGGCTATTTGAATACTAATCAGCCATACGATGTGCTGAACAGAAATAGATATCCAGCACATGGCGGTTGCAAGAAGGCCTCCTTTCGATTGAAGCATTTGGCGACCTGCTGTCATGGCACCAACGGGTCTCGCCACTCAGACCGAATGATTGTAAAAACCAAAGCAGCTTACAGTGCTCGTTCCATTGCGGCTTACCCAAACAGAAGCCCATTTGGTCACTTTGGTCCGTTCAAGCTTTAATCAAGAAAATGGCCGCTGTGGCCAACTTGCCTTTGAACATTGAAAATGAAGAAGTTTGCCTAGACATTGAGAGAAGGACTACAGCTTGAAGTTTCTCGTTCACGTTGAGGGGTGCGAGCTGTTCCTGTGCCGAAGCTGAGATACCTAATGAGCCTGTCAAGCCAAGTCATGAACACTTTTCCGGCCCTTCCGGCATGTGAGGTTCGGTCAAATTTTCGGTCCATTTGGGAGGGATAATAGGGTGGATTAGGCACCCTTTCATGGTTTTATTTAAGCACTCGCAGAGGCTCCGCGTAGGCATGGCTGCCAGGGTATGGGCCCACAAGCCCCCAACAAGCTCTACTCAATTGTTTCATGTGAAGCCTGCGTACTGTTGAACGCTGCAAAGCTGCTCCCAACTCCAGCCTGGAGCACGGAGCATCGGAGAGGCCAAATTCCCATACCTCGTGGGCATGAAGATGGAGATGGTCGTGCTGAAGAGCCCTGGCACAACGGAAGAAGCCGTCGTGCTGAAATCCCACCGAAACGACGAAAACGTATCTAAACCTGGGAAGGCAACTTTCAGCGCATTTGCTCAGAGGTTTTGAGGAGGCGGGCGTCAGGGCGGTCGAAGACTTTACGCGCCTCAAGGCTTCGAATTTGAACTGTGGATGTGATCAGGGATGCGTAAAACTTGTATACCACTGACAAAAGTGGCATATGCTGCCTTACAAACTTGCATTGGCGACATATCAGTCATACAGAGTCCAAAGCCCATCGGTGCTCAACTTGCAGCGGTGTCAATGGCAAAGCCCTCGCAGAGTTGCGTGCCTTTTGTGCGTTCCACCACAAATTAGGATACCAAGTGCCACCTTCCTATGTTCCCTTGGTTTTCGCTGGCCAAAGGCTGGTTGAGGGCTTGTTTCGCGGAAACCGGGGGGAGGTTGGGTGATTCACATGGTGTCCTTGCGGGGCAAAGGGACAACCACTGAAACAACCCCGAGGTGCCGCGAAGAATGCAAAAGTGCAGTCTCCGTGATGAGTCAACTGCATGTCGAGTCCTTGAAGGACTGATGCATGTGAGGATATGGTATCACCCTCATGTTAGTCACATCTCTCCCCATGAAGACTTACTTACAGGAACTTGTGTTTGCCTTGCCTCCAGGATATATGTCTTGAGTGTCCAGGATGTGTCTTGAGTGTGTGTGTGTGTGTGTGTGTGTGTCTGTGTCTTTGTGTCTTTGCATGTCTCTGCCTGTCTCTGCGCCTAAGTGTGAATTGTGGGACATGTGGCGTGTGCATTTGCAGACCATTGCCAGGACATGGTTCTCAGGTTTGGTCAGGAATATCCTGGCACCATCATTGATATTCGCTCCTACTACACCTTTGGCACCAAGATCGACAGCAACCCAATGCTTTCTTTTGACAAGCAGAGCATTCTCTTCGTGTGGAGTTCCCTGACTGCCACAAGCAGATTGGTTTGATTTGGTTGGCGATCGCTGTCGGGCCCGTTGCGGAAAAATCTCCGCCAGATCAACGGGTCACAACTTGTGTTGGGTCTCTTTCTGTACAGTAACATCAGGGGAATCCGGCAACTGAAGTCACCATTGGGGATGCGAAAAAAAAAAGAAGAAAAATAAGAAAAGAACCACCTGGTTTCGCAAGGACGATCTGCCACAACCATGTGTCAAAATAGGACCCCTCAACTGGTTGCCTTTGGCGTCCCTTTAGACCAACCTAGGGTACCGAGCCTCAACAGAAACACCCGCTGGCCGCACACCAAGGCTGGAGAGTCAACGGCACCATGAAGCTTACAGCGCAAAGCTTTGCGAAGGAAATGACGAAAAGAGTCGAGATTCTGCCACTTGGATGCAATCAGCTGAATAATTGAAGAGTTTAGGGTTTAGGATGGCGTCAACCGGCTGGGGGGGGATTGAAAAACATACAATGCTAAAACTAGTCCCCGGTAAGTGAAGACTGTAAAGGGTTAATTCTCAATTAACTACTTTGGGAGTTGTTTTCCTTGTGCACTTTGAACCACAATTTAGAGGATAATTTGGAGGATACCCGCTGGAATGGACCTAAGAAGGGTTCTCATGAATTCGGAGGGGCAGCTTTTCGGCCCAATGGGGCGATGGCTATGAGAATCTGTACATAGAGCCCGGGCAAGCATTGTCAGCCTCAAGGTAACCTTCAAAAGTGGTTGGGGCCCCGGGCAGTGAATCAAATGCCTCTACCGGCTTGCATCTTTTAAAGCATATTGTGTTTTTGTTTTGCGGATGCGTGTGTTTTTTGGTGGAAGCCTGAGGGGTAGAATATGGAACACACTCGGACTCCGTATTTTTTTCGGAGCAGCTCGTATGGGCCAAGGAACGGTCAGCAGGGAGATGGCCCAGACACCTTCGACCTGGCAGTGACTGGGCCTACCTTCCTGAACGTGGCGATGAAGGAAACCGTCCTGCACGAGGTCAGGAATCGAAATCGGAAGAGCAGACCTGAGAGACAGGGGGCCGGGGCTTCTCCATATTTTTACCGTTTGGTGGCTTTTAACTATCATTTGTTCGGAGTTTCCTTGTAACAATATGTGTTTGTTTCCGTGGTGGTTTCAAAGGAAATCTATCTATCACTACTGGAATTATTGTGTATAGTTTTTCCTGGGGACTTGTGCAAATGGAGGTCTACGGGTTCCCGGTTTCCTGGGCCAAGAGTGAATCTCGGGGGTTGCAAGTCTGGGGCCGCTTTCCCCGGATGCAATCCCTATCCGACCGTTTTTGAACCCAGGGCTAAAGTGGTTTGGTTTTCTCTGCTTTCCTGTTGGACCACTTTTCTAGCTCGCCGTGAAGACGAACGACAGCCAGCACACCCCAACCAGTACTTTGGGTTTACATAGGGCAAAGCGGTTATTGGGTCAGATCAATCTGAAGCTTTGCCTGACTTGCTACCTTGGTTGCGGAAGGCGCCAGCCTTCTGCAAGCGGAGAATGACTCCACCCCCCAAACCCGTCGCAATTTTACGACCCATTTGCCATGGCTGCAGCTTGCCAAAGAATCGCCGTGCAAAATAGGTTTAAAGTGGAGTTGGGTTGTTTCGTTGCTAAACACCTGGCCCCAAATTTTGCTATTGTCAGACCCGAGAAGCGGACGTGGATTTCGTTTGGGGGCGCTGAACAAATTTGTCATTCCTCGCGCATGCCATCAGGCTACCCCGAGTTGGTTCGGACAGCAGGTACCTCCTTTGATTAAGCCGATCTAATCCAAGGGTTCATGTCAACCTCGGATTTTTTCTGGAGGACCCTAATCTGAGCAACGCCCTAAAATAGATCATGGTTGGACAGTGTGTACCTTCTTCGGTTTGAAAAGAAACTCGATTTCAGATTCCCAAGCCAATCCAAGAAGGGTTACCTGCCAAGCGCCAGGTGCCCATTCACGAGATCGAGACGCTTTGGCTGCCCTTCGGCATCCTCGCCTTACGCCTGCAGAGCGCCCGGCTTCTGTTGCTGGCGCTCTGCTCCATGCCCATCTCCATTCTCATCTCCTTCGGCTTTATGCACCCACGGCATGGAAGCCAGAAACCGGAAACCGCGTGTTTCCCCCGCAAGCATCGCAAAGGGTTGTTTGGGTAAAATCCAATTTTTTTTGGGGGTAAAATCGAGCAAGCCGCAGGATAATATCTTCCCCCTATTAATAAATACGGCCCCCCCTATTATAAATAAAATCTCCCAAACATGTTTTTTTTTGTTTAAACAAATTGGGGTTTTTGGGGTTGGGTTTTTTGCTTTTCCATCAATGTGAGGGTTCACATAGGATTTGGAGGAAATGGATTGAATTGTAAGGTCCGCGAGTAAGCAGTTTAATAAGGAAATTTTATGTATCATTCTACTTGTTTTTCAGTTTACTGGTTGTTTGTTTGCAGCCAGGCAGGTTAGCCAGCATGTACGGGAGAGAGACAGTCGCAGCTAGACAGCTTTTGGGGACATGTTTTCTTTTGAGGGACACCACCCCTAATAAAGATTCCAGGACTTTAGTAGTGGTTTAGTATTGGCGCAATGGAAAATCAATTGTGTGGTCCCGGGCCCCGGATTTCCATTTTTTTATTAATTGGGGTCATTCATTAATAGGGGGAAGAGATTAGTACCTGCACCGAAGGATGCGCGAGAGTCCACGCATAGCAAGAGGCACGAGCGCACAAGTCAGAGACAACGCACGTCGAGCGCGCGTGCAGAGCACGATGCCCGAGAGCCCAGGCGTAAGCAACAGACGCAAGTGCGCACGCCGAGCGCTGCAAATTTGTGCTTGCACGCAAGATAATATTCTTCTTTGAAGGCCGCGCTGTGTGATCAAGCCCGTTCTGCGAAAATGACACCCTCTGCGGATCAGCGTGGCCGATGCGTAATATTATTTGAAGACCCTTTTACTTTTGGATCTGCGTGCGCGACCCTCTGCGTGAATCAGTGTGAATCAGCGTGATCGAGGTTCAACGCGCGTTTTTGCTACTTTTTGACTGACTTGCGCACGCGACCCTTTGCGATGTCCAAAATCTGAGGATATGTCTACTTTCGACTTGCCTGCGGGACGGCTTGCTGGATTGGAGTGGTCGGTGTGCAAGCGCTGATGACTTGTCTGCTTCCCCACGCGACCTTCTGCAGGGATTGGCGTGGCTGATGATGTCTAAATACTGAAGGCTTCCCCCTTTAAGTGGATTGGCGTGGACGTTGAAAAAACTGAGGACTTTTGCTTGCCTGCGCGACCCTCTGCGGGGATTGAATTGGCGTGGTCGACAAACTGAGCACTTTTTGTCTTTTGCGCACTGTCCGCTCGACCTTCTGCGCGGATTGGAGTGGCTGAGGGTTTCTTTCTGGCTTGTGTGTTTCCTAGGCGACCCTGCGAGGATTGGCGTTGCCGACGCGCAAAATCTGACGACTTTTCTGCTTTTCGACTTGCCGCTCGGCTCTCTGCGGGAATCGGCCTTGCACCGGCAGCTTGCGCAGCTATCCTGGCATCGAGAACTGGGGTAGACAAACTTGGGCAAAAAACATAAGCCGAGCTTACGCAGAGAAACACTTTCACAGAGAACTTGCGCAGAGCGCTTGGAGCAGAGAACTTGTCCGGAGGACTTGAGAAACTTGCTCAGACAACTTGCGCCGAGGAACTTGCAGTGTGAGCTTGCGCAGAGAACCTGTTTCGCACAGTATAATATATATTATGCATTCGGGCCGTGTCCTTCTAAATCGTTTAAACTGACATATTGTGATTGCTTCCTTTTAATGAAGGCGGCTGTGAAGTTTGCGATTCCGACACAACCCCCCGTCAAAATGACAATGTACATCTCGTTTTGGTATCACATGTTATATCCCACTGCCGACAAAACAAGCAGCCCCCGAAAGTCAGTTCACTAATCAGCTGGGAAATTTGGATGGGTTGTCCCATTCATGCCAAATTCCGTTGAATCACCACCCGACGATTGAAATTATGTTTGTTTTGGGGACGCCGTGGCCTCTGCCAATTGCCTGCATGCCCGGCCCTTGCAACCATGCATTGTCCCGGGCTGCGCGGAACCAGCGCGCGGAAGAGAAACTGCCAGTTGAGTGGGGACCTTAGCGTCAAACTTCTTCCCGAAGCCGCTTAAGCGAATGAGTTGAAACTTGTTTTTCCGAGAAAAAGAAGTTCCCGAGTGAACTGAACCCAACAAGTGCAAACCCTTCTTCCCCATGGAAACCGTAGTAGCTCAAGCGGGGGGGTGCCAAAGAAACCAACCTAAGTTGCATACTCTTGGAGGTGTAGTGTGTGGAAATCGGGTCCTTGCTGAGCCTTGCTGTCGCAAACGGGGCAACCTTTGTGTATTATTTGCTTCCGTGTTGACCTCGATGTACAGTTGCTATTCAAGCTGGCGTTTGATTTTGGAAGCTTTCCTTCGTCAGGTATTTTGTGTCCACGATGCTGCCGGTGATTCTGTACGCACTGGTCATGATGCTTATGCTGTGCACGGCCCTTTCCTTTGACTACTCGCTCTTCACCATGACCCGCTACGCAGAGGAGTTGAGTCACCGCCCCCAGAGCCAACTGAGTGCTCAAAATGACCGAACCAGACGATTGCCAACATGCGACTTTGCAGCAGATGCCAGCCACTAATTACGGTTGAACAGCCTTGCTGGTTTGATGTTGTTGTTGGTGGCGGTGGTGGGGATGGCGGTGGCAGTCGCGGTGCTGTCGCTGTTGCCGTTGCTGCTGTTGTTACTGTTGTCGCAAGCTGCCTGCCGCCGCATGCAAGTTGACCTGACCCTTCCATGGCAAACGCAACACGGCGGCTTCAATTCTGTGGAGGAGCGCCGGAAGGGTGCCAATATGGAGAATGCCATTGTCACTTGGTGAAAGGTGGTCTCTTTGCAAATGTCCTGGCACTGCCCTACCATTTGTTTTCTTCATGGGCGAGCAGATGCATGTTGCTTTGGTGAACCCCTACAGCTTGTCAAATGAATTTCCACCCTTCCCTGACTAGCGGTTCTGCCTTGAACTCCCCGAGCAAGGAGGGATGTCCGTCCCTTGCATGCGGAGATGGCATCGGCTGTCTATCATTTGGGACCTGACATTTGGATGAGGACATGAAAGGCAAGCTTCAAGTCCCCCGGGGGGGACTAGCCGGGCAAGTTGGCAATTCGGTTCTTAAGCTTCACTTGGCAAGCGGCTGAAAGAACGGTACACCGGCTGCTCAAACAACCAATGCACTTTTGTGGGTGTGGGCAGATTGAGCCGACCTTGTCGGCACTCATGCAGCTACTGACAGGGTTAGTGATAGTCTATTGTTTATTAGGATCTTCTTGTGAAGCAATTCTTAGTTTTTCGGCTGTCTTTTGTGACTTGCTCACATGGTGAAGACATCTTTCATGGGCTGCCCTTTCTACAACCATTGTTGGGAAGGAAAGAACGAAAGGCTCTGGGTTGTCATGGACATTGAGAAGGCCACCCAGTACTTTGTTTGCGGTAGTTGTCTTGGACGCCTCAAGCGCAGCTCAGCTCAGGCAACGGTGATCACACAAAGTGGTCACGTGGTAGTGGTCTCGGGCCTGGTGCTGACGATTGCCTATGGGGCCATGCTGGTGCTCCCAGGCGCTGTTTTTTTTTTTTTGTTTCCTGTTCTGATGGCCGGACTTGGACAAAGTGGCACGTTGGAATTCTATAGGTTCATGTTCCCTTGGCTAGAAAAGTGGAATTGGGGCCACAGAAAGGTGGAGTGTTCGAATTTTGCGCCAGCCAACTTTGAGTGGGGGGCTTTGACGGGTTGTTTTCGAACCGAGAGTTTTCTGTTGGCTCCCTCCGCACATCAATCCAGAGAGAGAGAGAGGGCTTCGGGTTTCGTTTTTACTGGAACTAAACCACCGCAGGCGCCAAGTCGCAGGTCACTGTAGACCCCTTTGGCAATTTGTTTCCCTTGGGGATTGGAAGGGGAGTAAGGGTTGCCTGTTGAGAGCTAGCAAAGCCTGAACCCCTTGTCCCTAGAGCCTCTGGACCCTGTGCGAGATCTGAGCTGTCAGCAAAATATCCTCGGTGCAAAGGAAGGCCACGCCATTCTTTTGATGTTCACGCCATGCTCTATTGTTGTTTCCTTTGGTCTTTGGGTTTCAATCAGTTTGGTGATTTTTCAGCCGGAGCTGCGGAAGTGCTGTTATTAAAAGTGTGCGGCGATGAATCCGTGATGCACCGAACAGTGACTTAAGCGGGACCAACAAGTAAGTCAAGTATCTGCCTAATTGTTTGGCGAGCTGACGTGGAAATAACGCAAGGTTGCCCCTGCTTGAAAATATCGTTCTTTTTGCAGGTTTTGGAACTATGGTAATTAGACAGGTGAGTCTCTTTCACCCTTTGTGTGGGTAGTTTACGGGACAACCGCCAGTTTAGGGCTTCCACTTAGAGACAAATCTTCCCACTTGCCCAGAGACACATTTGCGACCTGTGCATTTCCAAAAGGATGGCCTTTGACTTCTAGGTTCTTTGGGCAGCTACAAACGTGGAAATGGGTATGTGTCAAAATACAAGCAACCCATACTGGTGGTTTCCCAAGTGGAAGTATCTAAATGGTTCTGCGAACTTAGGGTTTTTAGGAGCCCTCGACTCAATTTTCTGCAGGTGCCTTCAAGAGCTTTTGCGTGGCCGCCTGCTCCATGATCTTGCACCGCGGGCAGAATGGCCTTGCGGCCTTGCTGTTGGTCGGGGGGGCCCCTATATGTGTTCTGCTGCTATGGGGCGAGCATATATATAAGGGCATACGTTGGTGGATTGATCAATAAGTATTCGCACAACATGAAGTACACAAGGGTAAACATGTTGCTATCTTTGAAAAAGGGGTGTGTGAGGGAATCATTTTGCCCCGGGGACAGACGCAAATCATTGTTCCCTTCGCGTTATGAATCAAAGCCAGGGATGCACCCCATGTTTTAGTCGGGGGGTTGGGTTCGGTTGGTTTGGGCGAAGGCAGGGTATTTTGGGTTTTGAATCCTTTCTGGACAAGCGGCTTATTTTTTAGGCGTACGGCCGATAGCCGTCCAAGTTGGACCCGTTGAAGTGGCAGGTTTCGGCCAGTGTCCTGCGAGGTTCCCTTTTGGAACAGCACAAAACCCGGTGTCTTGATGCCATGCGGACCTGTTCTCCATCGGCCCATCCATGGCAACAAGAGATTAACTTACTCAGCGTGCCCTTTGCCCATGATTTAAAGAGCATCCGACCATGAAGGAACTCATTCTGAACACGACGTGCATTTTGAGGAATTTGCTTCTCTAGGACCCGTTTTCTGGATTGCCCTTGCAATCTGAAGAGGGGATCCTTCTTGTTGTCCAAGGATGTTCTTGGAATTTAGGCAGCGCCTCTCTTGGCAAGCAAGCTGCTTGCCCCGCTGGTGCCAGCAAAGTTCTCCGTTAGGAGCAGTCAATCCTAGGGCGGCCGCCCTTGTAATTTCTTGCCTGGTTTCAGCGTTCTGTTTGAGTTCCTTTTCTGGGTTGTCTTTGGACATCAGGGCCTCATTTGCCAAACGATCAAGTACCGGTTTCGTGCTTTATGACTCGCATGTGCTGCAAGTCCCTCGCGGTAGGCCAAACAGGAAAGCGTGGATGTTGCTGGCCGAAGCTAAACCTGGATTCAACCAAGCGGATTGATAGGGCGCCTCCCCAAAAAAATCAGAAGTAACGGGTTCCATCTTACATAGGACACCTCTTGAACTGGGAATTCATTCATGGGTTCCCATTTTGCCTGGGGCCGTGCGCTGAGGTGCTGCATTGGCGTTCAAATGACTTTTGTGCCATGTCTCTTGGGCGTTTTCCCGTGGATTGGCGCTGGCTTCGAGAATCAGGGCTCCGAGGAGGAGGAGATCGCAGCTCGGCACTGCGCGCTCGCTTGGTCTGTTGTCCATGCTTTTGCTGCATGTCTAACTTCCAGCATTTCAATTTCCTCGCGCAAGGATGCAGAGGATGATGTCGACTTTGAGGACATAGACAACGGCGACACGCCGGCAACGCAAATTTCGCGACTCGCCTGGAGAGTTGCGGCGTGGCCTAACACTTGAAACTAGGTCAAAAAGTTCGGGAATGACATGAGCGACACAAGTCCAAGCAGAACGGCTCGTTGTTTGCAGCTCCCCTCCATTGTCGCATTTTCAGAACGGGCAGGGAAGGGGGACAGTGGAGGAAGAAGTGGCAGGAATGATTCACGGAACACGCGAAATCCTTGAAGGTCCTTTTGGGCAATCTCGTGCTGTCCCCAGTTTTCAGGACCCTCTAGACCCTTGCAACAAATTGGAGACAGTGGTTGCCAAATCCGCACCAGCGGTTTGGTTTTCATCAGGCTGAAGCGGGTGCGGGAGTTCCGCAAAGGCATCTACTACAAGGTTGGAGGCAGGTTGACCCAGTGCCCCATGACGCTCAGCCATTGGAGAGGGAGGGGGCTCTGGCAGCATGTGTTAAAGGTTGTTTGGTTTTGCGTGCCTCCCAAACCGACATGGAGAAGGGGGTAGCTCTCACTTCCTGAGTTGCTCTACTTTAGACTGTTTGGAAAGCCCATTTTAGTGGTAAACAATATGTTCAGTCTTTTCTGGGGCCATCCACTCAAGAAGTGAGAGCTTGGAAAGGTTTCACGCCTGCTGGGAGGTGTGACAAGGATTGTCACCACCGTCGCAACGTTATGCCCAGTATTCCCCAAAAAAGCCGTGTGTACCATTTGACAACTGATCGAATTCAGCCATGGCGCTTGCAGCGCACGGCTCACAGAGATTTCGATTGAGGCGGTTCCGGCCTTCCTTGCTGTTGGGTTTCCCACCTTGGGGGCCACATAGTCTAATAGCAGTAGCCTACTGTGGTAAGCACCTGGGGGTGAATACACCTGTTCTGGGCCCCCGATGTAACTTCAAGGTTTTGCGCTGGCTGGCTGTCCCTTTGTGCAGCTTGTTCCAATTGGAGGCAGACATGTTCAAAGATTACTTCGCAGGCAGATGTAGGTGCGTGCACCTCAAAATGAGGGACCCCTCCAAGTGAACAGCTTTGCGTGGGTTCTCTTGATTTAATTTATCCTTAGTTTATACCATTTGCAAGCTTGGCTGGAGGTGCGGAGGCTAAACCACCCGCAAGGCACTTCTTTTTGAGGCATGCACCACTTGTCGTTAAGCTCAGCTCCAACATTTAACAACCACGGGCTTTTCCATGGTAACATGCAGTCAGTGAGAGGTCGAGGGAGACGTCACTCACCCAGCCCTTTTTTCCGACTTGCAAAGGGCCGGAAATTGTTTGAAAGTTGAAAGGTCCAGGAAAAGCGTCGAACATATGATAACACCAGAAACAAATTTGGTTCAACTCAAAAGCCAACGTGTTGAACACCAGGCAGTCCCAACGTAGCATTCCCATTTGGTTCATGTGCTGTTCTGGACCGTTCCCCAAAAGGCCCTAAGACACTATGGCAAGAGTTCTCCAGCCAATGCCGGTCAGTGGCATCCACTGAAAATGCTGCCAACAGGCACCGCTTGCTCACGTTTCCTTCAACGAGTTTCTAGTTGGCGCAGTTCGAGCCACGCATGTGCGATTCATGGTGACGGGCCTGTGTTTCAGTTGTCGCTGGCCTGCAAAACAGCCGCCAGTGGAGACTTGGGGCTTCCGGTCTGGATTTCGCCGAAAAGAAGTGCAGGGAATGTCGCTCCATTTGGGGTCCTTCAAATGGCGGCTCTCTTGGATTTCCTTTGAGTGTGTCGTTTTCAGCCCCCCCCCCAAAAAAAATGGGAGGTTTCCTTTTGGCTTCCCTTTGGTTTTGACTCGAGTCGCGGGCCTTGCTGAGGAATTGCCTCGTGCCGTTGGCCATTTACTTGGCCACGTCTCCGCTGACCTACCGGGTGCTGAGGAGGGAGACCGGGGTAGGGTGGTAAGGGGCGCCAGGGAAGCCAAAAGGATTCGCGGGGGTAGCCCTGTTAGACATGCCCACGTCGATTTTTCAAGTCGGAAGCCATTCGCCCCCAGAAATCAGCAATGTGGCAACATATGCCCTCTCGAAGCGTCACCGACTATTTGGCGAGTTCCCAAAATCACGGTTGCTGCGCTGAATGAGGGTCCACTTCCAGGGTATGCAATCCAGTGGGAGCGTGGCAGATGGCAGGAACAGCGGCTCCCAGCCCAACTTTGCCGAACATGCCCACAACCCTTGCGCACGTCACACCGCCCTTGCCTTCTTGGCGGAGAATCCTTTGAATGAGGGAATTGGAAAGCAACCCATTGCATAGATTACTTTGTAAACACAATTATTGATTGTGCACATGTAGATACATATATATATATATGATGTATATTTATGACATTGCGTAATTTAAATGTCAAAGACTGAGTTTGTGAAGGGTGGAATCAGTTCAACGTTTTGGAATCCTTTCTATCACATGTGCAAAGCAAACAAATAAAACCCAACAGTTTGCCTATTTGTTTATTGATTTATGTGCTCATTTGAGTTGTGGATGCACTTAGCTTGTGAACAAAGCAAATCAGCAAATCCATACTTTCTCAAAAAGCAGCCCCACGGCAAGGGAATTTTGGTTGAACAAAGGGGACCCTCCCCCCCCAGAAAAAAACGAAAGAAGGAAAGTGTAGAACTCTTTGCCAGGAGGTTATGTTTTTGTTCAACCAAAGGGCGGTCAAACAAGCACAGGCTGACTTTCCTCAAGGTTCCAGCCCCAATCGCAGCTTTTACGTGACCTCAGAGAAAAATATGCAGTTTGTTCGTTTAAAGCGTTCACACCTTACTTGTGCACTCCATATGGCTCGAATGAACATGCTTGCGCATGAAGGAGAGTGCCAGTCGGCCACATCAGGTTTGGCACAGGTCCAAAACGCAACACTATGTTTTTGTTTGTCCGTTTTTTTCTTCTTGTTTTTTTGGTGTTTATTGGGTCACGGAAGGTACCAGATGGGCCATGCCTACGAGCTGCAGATCCCCCGAGGGCGCAAGGAGTGGGAGACATCGCTGCAGATCCAGCAGGACTGGCGTTCCTTTTGACTCAGGAACGTGCCCCTAAAGTCTAAACCACCAGTTCGGGGCTACGTTACCTCTTTTTTTCTTAGTGGCAAGCCCAAAGTTTGCAGGTGTGTTTTTTCCTTTTCGGTGCCAGGAAGCGAGTTGAGGAGAGTTGCTCGAGCCTACAGATATGAGCAGACGTGGTTCTAGGGTATTGGTATTGCAAGCTCGGTATCGCTTTGGGGCAGGACACGTTCATGTTCTGGTGCTATTGCCTATGAATTCCCAAGGACATTGCATGGTTGTTGTTGGGAAACTTTTTCCTTTTTTTGCTTATTGTGGTTTGGCGGGAAATCCCCACTTAACTGCTAAAATATAGATGTTTGCTCCCCTTCCAACATCAGCCGAGATTGTTCGACGGACATGGCTGTCCCGTAGCTGAATGTCTTGCCTCCGGGTCTTCAGAGCAACCCTCGAAAGCGCAAAACAAGGAAGAGCCCAAGGACCTCCGTGAACTTCAGAAACAAAATCGGACCCCCCCCCCCCAGTTGGACCACGTTGAATATTTTGGGCCGCTATCATAGATGTGTTTCGCAATTCAGAGTCATAAGGCTGTTTTGGGGTTCGGTATTTTGTTGACTGTTTTGGGGCATGCTAAATGCGAATTGACTATTAAATCAAGTACTGAGATCTGAGATTGAGTCTTGGACTTCCGTGTCCCCTTTTCTCAGGCTTAAAATCCGCAGAGTTGGTTGCACGCAATGTGGATTGGACCGCGCCGTGGACGCCTTCATAAAATTGCACAGCAAAGGAATCATATCAAAACAATGTGACCATGAAGCATCATGGTGACCATGATGTATGTGAGTAGCTGTTTAGAAAAAGCTACCAGGTGGTGTCCGGAACTAACAGAGCTGACATTCAACCGAAGGTGTCCACAAAGGGGAAAAGTTCCGACTAAAAAGGAGCAACCTCTACGAATGAACCAGCGACTGATCTAACGCATCAACTGTGAAGTGAACTTTCGTCGGAATCCGTCGTGGGGTCCCTTTTGTCAGGGAACTACGTTTCTTTACTAGCCCCAGTTGAGGCTTAACCCTGGTAGGGTTGGTTGGTTGGCTAGCAGGTATGGTATGGTATGGTGTGGTATGGTGTGGTATGGTAGGGCGTGGTGGTATGGTATGGTATGGTAGGGTAGGGTAGGGTAGGGTATGGTATGGTGTGGTATGGTAGGTACGTAGGTAGGTAGGTAGGTAGGTAGGTAGGTAGGTTGGTTAATTGGTTGGTTGGTGATTTGGTTGGTTGTGGTTGGCTGGGTTGGGGTTCGGTTGGGTTGGGCTGGGTTGGGTTGGATTGGGTTTCGGGTTGGGTTGGCTTGGGCTGGGTTGGGTTAGGTGGGTTAGGTTAATTGGGTTTGGTTGGTTGGGGTTGGTTGGGGTTGGGTTGGGTTGGGTTGGGTTGGGTTGGGTTGGGTTGGGTTGGGTTGGGTTGGGTTGGGTTGGGTTGGGTTGGCTGGCTGGCTGGCTGGTTGGTTGGTTGGTTGGTTGGTTGGTTGGTTGTTTGGCCGCATCCCCAGCATTCATGGCCTCAAGCGGTTAAGTTTGAAAAGGTTGGCCCAACGATGGGCTTGAAGGATAGACGCGCCCTAGGCCTCTTGGCATGAGTGCCCCAAACAAACCAAAGATGTCAGCCCCTTGAGCAGCCCGACAGGACTTTCCCACCTCTGTGGGCTGCACCTCGGTCGCCATTGGCAGAGCCAGTGGCTCAGGGGATAGGGGATGGCTTGAGCTAAGACCTCTCTAGGCCCACAGGGATCAACCTCTATCGCAGGTTGTCCGAGAGATGGCAAATTACCTTGGGAGTTTTTCAGTTCATGCGATTGACGCCAGGATTTGTCCAACGTTTGCCCACTAGCGGAATAAATTCACGCGGCTTCTTTTTAGGAGCCGCAACTTAGGACGGCCAAAGTGCCAGTCTGCCATTCCGGTCAAGCAACTGGCCGTTTGACCGGTTGCTTTTCTTGTGCCGTTTTTCAAGCTCCATTCAAGGCCTGTGAAGCATTGATTACCGTTTTGACGTGTCACATATTTCTTACGTGACAATATTGGATGCAATATTTGTTTGTTTGGACAAGTGAAATTTCAATTATGCCAAGTTTTTCAGTGTCATTAAATATTTGTTTACATGTTTGTTGGCATCATTGTGAACCCATTCGCTCATACCAACAGGGAAGGCACATTTCAATAGTTCACAGCCTGCCATACAAGCTGGATATTGACTGTTAATATCGCCGATGAAGGGAGGTGATTTCCTGGAGTTTCCAACTCCGCATCCTTGGCATGCGTTTTCGCAGGACGGGTGTTTTCAACAACAGGCACGTTGAGCCGGAGGGAGGGGTTGTGGAGCTGTTGCAATGGCCGCCTGGCATGCCCAAAGGTCATGCTCTCCTCACGAAAAAGGTGCAAGGTGCTAACTTCTAAATGTTTTGCCCCACGCAAGCCGGGCCTTCCGTACATGCTGCAACTTGCATCTTGAGCAGCTGCCCCGCGCTTTGGGCGATCAAGAGTCCAGGAGTCCAGCCCACTCCCCTCACCTGCGCTCAAGCTCCCGACCCCCCCTAAACGCAAAGAGTTTGGCAAGATGTGTTGTGAAAATGAACATTGCGCACATGAACATGCGACCGCGGGCGCCTTGAGTCAAAACGCAAAACACTTGCCGCATGCCTTGGGTTCGGACCCAAACCTTCGAGCCGTTGCGGGGATATATCAGCAACATTTCTGCAAGGAAGTCCCATCAAGCGTGCTGTGGTGATTAGGATTCCTCGGGATGGAATGACGCACCTCGCGGATTATTCAAGGAGCTGAGGAACTACTTGCAAGGCATGAGGGAAGTGATAGGCGAATTAGCCTTGTACCCCTTGGCAGCTAAAGGAGTTCTGCCAACTCTATGGAAAGCCATGTAGCCCGGATAGTTCACAATGTTCCTTCCACAGTACCTGAAGGATCCTTCCTCCGGCCTGCCAAAGGTGAAGCTTGCGTGTATTGTTCTTCATCAGAAGCTGGAACTCCGGCACTCCAGACCACACAATTTCGTCTAAGCTTCTTCGAACGCCATGGAGCGGGTCTGCAGGAGCACTTTGCAAGACGACCGCCTCCCCCTTAGGACAAGAGTCTCAGCAACATCTGGGCCTGGACTGGCTCAGAGACTTCAAGTCTCCGATGGGCTACTGAGCTTCGTCGCAAAAGCCCCGTCACAAACCAAAGGCTCGCCATCGATTTGACGGCCATGAGACAGGAGCTCTAAGGGATGAGGGGCATCGCGATCGGCGACATGATTGGACCAGAGGTGTTGACTGCCTGCCGAAGGAGATGCGGAGTGAAGAGCTGAGGAAGACGATGGAACTCAGCGCATGGCAGCTGAGTGAGCTCTCCTGGCGGGGTAGGGCATCCAGATCAGGCAATTTGCCCGACCAGAGAGTCTGACAGCCCTGGATTCGGACGAGGTAGTTCGCGAACACACGCGAGCCTCAGACCAGAAGAAAACGCACGGGTGTTAGAATGAATGCGCGTTGCACGCATGAACATGCTGCCGCAGGCGCCTTGGGTCAAAGGGCAAAGCGCTGCCGCTTTCCCTGGATTCGGCCCCGAACCCTCGAGCCATTCCCAAATGTGTTAAGCAGCGAACCCCCTCTTTCTTGTTCAGACAATGAGTCAGTCTTCAAGGAAAAGTGGCCCCACCCCCAAATCCCAGGCATGATGCCCACGTTGATCATCGCCACCAACAAGTTGGAGGAGATTCCCAGCACCACCTTCCTCCCTCCACTGCCGCAGCTGAAGCTTAACGACAGCCTGGGCGTGCCTTTTGACCCTGAGGCCCCAGTGCGGGTTTCGGAAGGTTCTGCCGCCCGGGTTCTGTTTGTGATTGCAACAGCCGGCAAATACCCGCTGGGATAAGCCTACCTTGAAACAATCAAAGCATGGAATCCAGCCTTGCAACTTCTTGGCAGCGCTTTCCTTTTCCACTGGCTGGTGGAAAATGGAGGGCTCGACCTCCGTGACCTCAGGGTTTGCGTACTCCCGCGCTCGCGTGTTGGGGAAACGTCCAACCAAGGAGGGGTGTGGTTTCAAGATACGCTCATTTGACCGTGCCAGGCGAATAAGTGTTTTGTTTTGCATGCTGACAGGTTGTCCGCATTTCGCAGAGTTCGGGCCAAGGTGATTGCACTGCTTGGACACATGTTCTTTGCAAGTGCGTCTTGATGCAAGGCTATGAGAAGACATTCCAAGAGTCATGGACGAGGGCGAAACGTAATTGACCTGCTGAGATACGTTAAGATGCAAATAGGTTTCTTCCCCAAACCTTGCGGTTGTCAGCTTCTATGAGGAAATTCGCAGCTGCACAGAAATGTTTGAGTGCTTGTTCAAATCCGGGTAGACCGTTCAAATCCGAGCGGTGCAACTTGTCAAGCCGGGGAATGTTTGTGACGCTATGACTTGCATGAAGCCTTTCCCTGTTTCTTCAAGCTTGGCAATATTGCAAGTTAGTTCATCTGGGTATGTGTTATTTTTGTTTGGTCGCTTTGGGCAGTTCTCGTTCTTACGGGTCAAAAAAAGCACCCTTCTCAGGCCAGCCCGCCGAACGAGGACACGGAGGTGGGAATGAGCGCATATGAGCGCATCGTGTTCGGCCCAGCGGCTGTTCCCTCTGGTTTTCCTTTCGTGCGGCTGTCTCACCCAAGTGTTTGAACTTCGTACTTTTCCGGAATTTCATTCAAAGGACAAGCACGCCAGACATTGCTTGGCCAACCCGGAGAAGGTGCTCCCCTTTGTGAACCAGGGATGTCTCGTATGTTTGTTCCCGCAACGGTACTTCTGCCGTTTCCAATAGAACGGAACGCATTAATTGAAAGAAGTTTCTCGGTTCCAATCGGTTGCCCTACGGTTTCTGCAGCCAAAGGCATCCTAGGATATGCACGTGTGTGCCATGATCCTTGAAGGCCATCCCTGGGGAAAAGCTCAACATCTGGCCTTCCATGGCCCCCAAAATCGAGACAAGCTCTAACTCTTTCTGATTTTCTTATGGCATTAAAATGTAAAAGAGTTCCATCCTCCAGCAACGACATCAATGACCGCTCACACTGGCTCTTGGATTTGACCGCTTCAGAGTTGTTCGAATCTCCTGACGCGTTGGCCCCATGTCCCAGCTATGGGTTTCACCTGACTGCTCTTGGCATGTGGTTTTCTACTCTTCTGTTCTGCCAATTGTAGTGGGGGCACGCGAGGGGGCTGCACACAAATTCCAGTGGCTTGCTTGCACCGGCAGTTGGAAAGACATCTTGCTTCCGTAAGATGTTTGCGCATGTCTCTTTGGTGGGACCCCCAAACGTGGTTCTCCTTTTGCTTTCCCTTTAAAACCACAAACAAGGAGGGGATCTCAACCAAAGACACCCCTTTGCCGATTGTGTTTTTCCAGTCTGCAGTTGGTTGCTCAGGCGCCCCTGGATGTTCGCGGCCAAGCCTTCTTCGACATGAACTGCGACATGGTGAACATGCTGATCCAGCACACCAGGCGGGTCAAACAGGCACAAGCTATCGGGCAGTTTTGGGTGTGGGGCAAACTTATGGCACTGCCTGCAGGAGGATGTCCCGAAGTTTCGCCATAAAGTTCACCGAGTTTTGCCGACATGAGCTAGCTGCAGCAACGTTAGGCTATGACAGTCTTGATCTTCGCAGGGCCCAGAAAGCAAACCTTCTTGATCTCCTTGGCTTCGCAGGGATCAGCCAAACGCCTGGCTGGAAGATCGAGGGACTGAGCGCTTGCCTCAGGAACAAGACCTTCGCGCTGAAGTCGGGGGACTTTCAGAGCCCCACCTTCTATGGAGAGCATGAGGATGGCACCGTGAAGTGCTTGCGGCCCGGCGAAAAGGTGAGAAGGCTCACAAGCCAAAGGACTTTCCCAAGGAATCCGTCGACGGAATTTCCAATATTTCCTGGATTGTGTTATTTCAAAGTTTTTTTTCCAGGCCAAGGCCCCCGTGTAAATCTGACCTCATGAAGGTGACAATTTTGCAATTTGCTCAAACTTCTGTTTTGGGGAGGACTTCCTCTTCAGCTCCGTGTGCATCATATGCTGGGGTGTGGCACTGTTGCTGTGGCGGGCCCCACCTGGTCACATAGTGCTGTACTACTCTACGCGTCCAAGTTCTCGCTGCGGAGCCACATTTGGCAAACCTAGTCAGCAAACAGAAGCCCCAAAGCGACAAGGAGCCCAGAAAGGGAAATCAATTTAGAAAGAGTTGCCAGTGCAAACAGCTGTTTTGATTTTGTGGCCGGTATGACAAGAAGATGAGTCTTATCAAGCTTAGGTAGAATCAAGTGCAGTCGTTGCATGTAAGTTGATTTGGTCCAGCGCCACTTCAGGAACTACGACCTGACGCACTACTACCGCAGCTTGCATGGCACAAGGGGCTGAAGATGTACCAAGCTATAGTTTCCGCAGAAGTGTCCAAGCCATTCCCTCGCTTTATGGCAACTGCAAAAGCGAGGTTTGCGACCTGTGTTGATGAATCATTATAGTTTCCCTGTCCTAGAGGTGTGTACACGCTATTTGTTGCGATTGAACCGCCATCCGTTCGCACTGGTTGCCCACAGTTGCACAGAGAAAAGCCGAGGTGCAAACTACTTCACGCAGAAGTTTATGTTCACGTCGAGGCCGGAGAAGCTTGAGGATGTGAAGGCTTTCTGCCCTCACTTCGACAGAAGTCCAGCTTGGTTTCAACACCATCGTTTGGGGCAGGTGACCTTTTATTTGGAGTTTCGGATCTATCAGGCCATGATTGTGCTATCGGTAGAATGTGTCTAATTCAGGAGTCGGGCACCACGAGCATAGAGTGCCCACTTCTCCGCGAGTAAACCTTGCAGCTTCAGCCAGCTTTGGCGCCCGAAAAGTGAACACCTTTGGCTTTCGGGTGTTCGGACACGTGAGCTGGATATTGGCTGGATGACGTCTCTCGTATGTATGCAGGATTGGCCTCTTAGTGAGCTTAAAGCACGAGGAGCATCATTTGGCATTTCTTCTTTGAGGTGAACGCGGCGTTGTCTAGAACTGCCAAGGCTCATGCAGAAGTTGTGGGATCAGCTGGTCAACGAGCAGCACGATGCCATGCTCACACTGCTGACGCCCAAGATGGACCCCTTCTCCGCAGAGGCCTTCCGGATGACATCCGCCTCTTGACAACATCAAGTTAGGTCCGAGCAACGAAGTAGCAGACCGGCAGCCACTGACCCGTGGGGGTCAGGTTGCGTGTCAGAGATTTGTCTTTCGGCGTCCCGTTTGCAGGATTTATCAGCCACCTTATGTTCCCTTCAAGTTGTTTCATGGGTTTGTGTCGCGTGTGATTTGCTTGGGTGGGAATACATAAGAGGAAAGACGTCGCATTTGTTGCTCACCATTCGGTTTAGCTTAGCTGTTTGCAAAGGTAAGAGAAACATATGGTTGCCATATTTGTTTGCCCTTCATCTTCCCCGCAAGCACCTCCCTTGCCATGGCTTACCAACTTTGCTAGGGCTCGGCCTACACAGCCTCAGGCGAACCGCCCTAACTCCACCTTGGGGGGGCGGACCGAGCAACTTTGTGGACGGCGCTCTGCGTTGGGAATCCACGCCTTCCAAGTTTCGCCCGACGTGCAACATCACCCATTGGCCGGGGCGTGTGTAAAACAAGCGCGTTCTCGGACGCCAATGCCAGCAACCCTCACCTGTGGTTTCTACAAGACAGCGATGCCTCAATGGAATGTAATGTAACTGAATGTGCTTGAAGGGAGGGGTCTTCCAATGGATGCCCGATCTGATTTCATTTCCTTTGTCCAACGGAAAGCCAAACTGAAACTTGTGGTGGTCTATGACGGTCTGTGCTTGTACGTTTTAGCCAACCTGCCAAGAGATCACTTATTGTGCAACCAGGTTTTTTGGCGAGCGAATTTCCTGCTGCATTTGATGTGAGTCCTATTGCCATGCGTCCCGGGTCACTGTCCTTCTCCAGCCTGGGAAATGTCAATTGTGCCTTTGGACCCTGAATCCTGTGTCCTTTCCCCGTTAGGTGATAGGGGGGGGTACTAATTGCTTGCTGCCAGTACCAGGTTGAACGTCTAGACCACGAAACTCGGACGGTTCTTTGTTTTGTCGGTTCTGAGGACATCCGGTCCCTGCTGCTGAATGCCAGCGAAGCGGCCAGGCACGGACGGATGTGGATCTCTTTGCGGGCCACGTTTTGGGGAACCGCAAATGAGGGAATGGACATGCCACTAGGCAGTGAGACCATGAGCAACAGTTACAGGCTTGCAAGTATTGCACCCGCTATTCTCCTATGATCATGGCTTAGTTTAGTTGTAAAATGCGCACCCCCAGCTTTCTGATCTGGGCCCTTTACATGTCCTTCCCCGAAACCCTGGGTTTCGGTGGTAAGTTATCATTTCTGTGATAAGGGCACCCTGTTCCCAATCATGAAGTCCCCCATTAAATAGAAGAGGAATGGGCGTCTTCTCAAACCATCCTGTCCGCCATGATTGTGAGGCTAAATTGCGCCTGTGATTCGGCGAGCCAATTCCAGCCGATAGATGTGGGAAACGCAGACAGTGGCTTTTACTTCGTTGGAGAATACCCCTTTGAGGTGAGTACCTGTGGGCCATGCGGTGGGAGGCATTGATATGAATGGGAATGCCATAGCTCTGTGGAATGCCGTGGCGCATGTGCAGCGCCCCTGACACAGGCAATCCGGATTCGGGGAGATCACCTACATGATGTTCTCACCAAGTGCAATCATGATGGAATCTCGACTGGTTTCAGCCAGCAGTCAGCCGACACAGGGCAAGTCCACCAATTTGCTGTGCAACGGTCAAGAGTCCTTTTCCTTGAGGTTGGTTGGCTATAAACAAGTGTTCTAGACAGCCATTGCAGCGAAGCCCTGACCACGGCCTGTGGGAAGGTGGCCCTGGCGGGGGCAGTCGAGTTGGGTGGTAAATTGGCAGATCGCCGAGGTCCGGCTTGGGCACAAGTCAGAAGGGTGTGTATGGAGCCGGACCAGCCGGCGGGGTCAATCAGGCGGTCGCGCTGGGAGCAGAGCTCTCAGGAAGACCAGTGACAATCAATCAAGATGACGGGTCTGCGCACGGACACGCGAGCGAGACCGGTTCGGCCAGCGGCTGGGTGGACGGCGATCGCACAGCATGAGTGGGAGCCGGGGTTCGTGGTCATCTTGTCCATGTATAGCTCAGTGACTTTAGTTCCGGGTGACTCTGCCAGCCCACGCGGCATTTTTTGCCAGCCATGTGGCCCTTGTGGTCCTGGGTCGTTGGGCCCATCAAGCGCTCTCAGTGCTCGCAAGAACTGATGGCTGCAAACACAGCAAGTAGGCCACGTGATCAAGCAGGGTGTGTTGCCTTTACAACAAGCCTGCCATGCTTTCTTGGATTTTGCCGATGGTCGGCAAAACTATGCACTCCACCCGGAAAGTTATGCATTGCACGCACTGCATTTAAGGGCGAGCCACCTTCTTACTGAAGAGGAATCCCAGAGCAGCCCTTGATCAACAAAGATCTGCAGGCAGAGCTGACGCAACATTGTGTCAAGGCCGAAGATTCACACCTTGTTTAGCATAGCAAGCAGCTGGCTCACCTGCCACTCACGCCTAAATGGCTTTTTGACCATGGCTAGGCGCAAATGCAAGATCAATGGCTTGCTTGTGCCGCGCCCAGGATATGATCGAGGTGACTCATGCCAAGCTGTTTACCGCTTTCCTTGGCTGCGCTCTAGTTTGCTTCCTGGCTGCATGCCACCGGGTAAAGTGCGTTGGGTATGAAAGTTCCTTGAGGGTGAGGAGTAGCTGGTTGCCTTCCCCTCTCGGTTGCGACTGGAGGAGTTCTCAATGTGGACGTCCGCGTGATGAGGGATCTTTGGTTTTCAACCACGCACGTGAGCTCTCGGTGGGCTGGTGATCTTGACTCATGCGCTTGGCTCGCGACCTTTTAACCTGTCAAAACCTGCAAGTCCCACACAATTTACTAACACGCCGGCTCGATTGGTAGCCCAAAAGGTTCAATCTATTCATTTCCTCGAGGGGACTACGTTGGTAATTAAAGTGAACAACTATACGTGCTTTTGCATGGCTGCGGCTGGCCCAATTTCATTCTATTCTACACCCCTTACTGCCTTGGCAGGCCAAGTTCCAAGAAGAATTGCCCAGGCACGTCCTCAGTCGCACAACGTGTTTTTCCTTTGATCCTTAGGCAGAGGCTGAGTGTATGGCACCCATATGCGCACCGAAGGCTTCTCTTGACCCCAAGCCGTTCATCCCCAAACCCCTGAAACGCTTCCCTGAGAGCTGCTGAGCGGCTTCACATCGCAAGGCTTCGCGCTCATAGCGGTGGCCTTTCACGCCTGGCCGCTGAGCTGACAGCCAAAGCCAAGTGATGACCTACCTTTGTTTTGGTCCAGGCCCTCTGGAGTTTACTGGCATCTGTTCTTTGGGTCTGTTCAATGGGCCTTGGCTTGGTTTTGTTTCGGGCCATTTGCAACCCAGAAAGGTCGGGCCTCTTGCTTGAGATTTGGGCAAGTGGGCGCAGTAGCTTTCCAGCATTGTGGATGGACCTGAGTCATTTCGCACCGGCTGGGATCAATGAAGCCCTACTTTGCTGGTTGATAAACCGCTATACCTGACTGGTGCCCGCATTGCTCAAACTCCCCCCTCCCCATTTGCATCCGGCCCCTTCTGAAATCTACACACACACAAATACTTACCTTGGTTGAACCCATTTCGGAGGTTCTGAAATTTCTGGTTTGCGATGTTTTTTTTCAGTTTTCATGGAGGCGGGGGGGAGGGAGGGGAGGGGGGCTTATTAGGGGCTTAATAAGGGCTTATTTTGGCTCCCTCCCCCTCCCCTCCCTCCCCCCCAGCCCCCATGAAGTTTGGCATGGGCAGTCAGTTTGCCACAGTGTGTTTTGAGCAGATCATGTGACAGTCGGCCAAGCTTTTGGGGTTGCAAGAAAGAAGGCAGGCGTAGGCAGCAGCCAAGCAGCATCAGAAAGTGTCCAGGTTCCTTTTACAGTTGTCCAGGAAGCCGCACACTCAAGTCCCGGGAAGGGAGGGAATTGTTCCAACCATGAATCGGTTTGGCCTTCCTTTTGAAGGCTTGACGTGGCTTAGGGCAACTAAATTAAGTACTATCATTCAATGGGCGGGCGAGGGGAACGTTGACGATGCCGAGGCTGATTCCCTTCAAGCTGCTGTTCACGGTCATTTTGCCCATCACCTGGGCTTATGGTGCCGCACTGTGCCCCAAGGATTGTCATGCAGCGTTTATGGAACTGATGCCTCCCATTATCAAAGGTGTGCGTAATATGTACCGATGGTCATGTTGAATCACCAACGGTTTATATTTGAGCCGGCTTCGCACCTTCAGCTTTGGCATGACCAGAAGATTGCTAGCATGTACGTAGCAATAGGTATGGCTTCCAAGCAGTACACCCGACCTGCATGACAATAGCTTTGGAGGGATGCCCCTTGCGCAAGTGGGAAACAAGAGGTAGGATCTGAGGAGCATCCAAGCAGTCTTACGCTTATCTTTTCACGCTGCCTCTCCCCAGAATCGCTCCGCCCCAGGTCCCGTCCACGAGCGGGGAGTTCAAACAGTAGGAAAGCTTACCTTTTGACGATCTCGAAAGAATAATGATCCCTTGGGACGTCTAAAGCGAGTTCCGCGGACGTGCGAGGTACACCTACGAGGATGGCTTCTTAGAGTGGACCGGCATCCCCAGCCTTTCGCCCACGTACATCACAAACAGCGGTCCTGCAGGCGGGGCGCGGCAAACCCGCAACCCCCTCTACGAGATGCGCAGACAGCACGGCAGTGGCGCAAAAGCTGTTAGCTCTAACTGCGACTTTGTGCATTCTGTGAGGGCGCTTATTCACATTTTGGGTGTTAAGATATTTCAGGCTATCGTTCTCGCCTGACCGACCTTTCGACCTTTCGACTTTTCAACTGCGAAGTTTCGGTCTGTTTGTGCCAGGGAGGGAAGCAAGGCACTAGTTGATAGAAACAACTAACTTTTGGTTCGCCGCGATAAAACAAGCCCGCATGCTTCTGTTTGTTCTTCTGTCGCATGGGGGGAGACGTTAGTTTCCAATGGAGGAAGAGCAATCCCTGTGCGAAAGCTTTGTTTGTGTCTGGAGACTCTGTTTTTTGCCAAGACTTGCCTCACACAAATCCTCAGCCAAGCCTAAGCCATCCTGATTAAACGCTCCCCAATCCAACGCTCACCTCCCCTCAAGTAACCCGAAGCCAAGTTCAGTCAGCCCGAAACCAACCGTACACCTGCGCTGTATCAACCCGAAGTGCACTGCAACCCACCCTAGAAATGAATCCACAACCCTTGGTCAGCCACAAATTAGCACAACCCGGACCCCACCAATGCGAACCTGAGCCTAAACCAAACACAAACAAACCCGAGGCCCCACCCAACCTTAAACCTATTCGAAACCCACCCTAAACAAGCCATTGAGAGAGGTGGCGGGCCAAGAAATGCCAAGGGGCTGCGCGAAACGTTGCCAAACAAACAGGTTGAAACAAACGTGTTCGCGAACACAACAAACCTCCTGGCGAAGCTAGAGTTTGCGCACAGAGAAACAAGCGCACATCACGAAATGTCTTGCGTTCAGCACTGAAACAATAGCTTTTCTGAAAATTATATTTCAGTGTACCTTCTACCCGCGATTGTCCGTTCAGTGTTTCGCAGAAAACAAAGACCATCCAAAGAAACATCTGTTTAGCTTCCAAAGTAGCAATTCTAGGGATTCCGATGCTTTCCAACATGTGCCACGGCGGAACAAAGGTTCACAGAGTGGGGGCGAGAGTATCGAGCAACTACGCCGCGTGCGACACACACACAAAACCGCACACAACATATCACAACATCTTGGCAGCTAGCAATGCTGGCAATTCTTAGGGTGTTGGTAATGCTAGGATTTTGCTCTGGCGATGCTAGGGATCTTGCTCGTGATGCTGATGGCGCCTGCTCAAGAAACTAATAAAGTTTGATTGTCCGAGCCGTTTGAAATGGTTTGTTTCTGGGCTCTCCCCTTGCCAGCAGGTTACTTTCCGTCCAAAATGCGCCTTCAGCCCCACCTCCCGAAACTAACGTTCTCTTGGCGGAAGAAACCTTGCTGAAAGACAAGCTTTCTCTGTCTGGGTTAGTTGGTTTCCCAAGTCTCAGGGGCCGTCATCCCACCCGTGAGTTTCACTCAGACGGTTTTCTCCAGAGACAGTGATGATTGTTCCTCTTGTTTAGAAGCTTCAGACTCTTTCCATGCGCTTTTTTGTGCAGTCCCTTTTGGTTTGTTGAGGAGGGAAGGGAACCCCCACTGATTTGAAGTTTTGACGTGCAAATGCCATCGTGTTTATTTCCGCGTCACTTGGCTGCCATGGGTCCAAGCAGTTGTGCCTCGAAGCCTGGCGCAAGGTCTGGATTGGACGGTGCCCATGTTTACGCTCACGATTATGCTCGGACTCGCTCTGGACGCGCGTCTGATTGACGGCACCTGTCCTATTGACCACTTTTGCTTCTATGTGGGTGGGGGGAGTAGGGAGTGAAACGTGAGGGCCTTGTTTGCGGTTGCTGTAGTCGGCTCCCAATCCAAGACCCAGGCGAATTGACCGGCATTTTTAGCTTGACGAGTTTTTGGTCCGGTTGAGTCATTGCTCGAAAATGGTAACTGGTAACTTCTGTCAGCTCCTTCATGCAAGTAAGAAACTTCCCTTTGTTCATGAAACTTTCCTAGGAAGCAACATGCATTGCTTGTAGCCAGCAGGCCTCCGCGTGCCTTCTGCAAACGCGCAAGCATGATTGAGGACTATGACGTGTTTCTCTTTGAGCGTGTCTGGGAATTCCGCGAGGAGGCTGGCTGCAGGGTCAGGAAATGATACCCAAAACGTCGTTTCAAAACTGTTCCTTTGGCAGGTCCCACGCAAAGTGCGCATTGAGTCTGAATGGGGGCCGTGGAACCACAACATCAACAACAACCTCATCAACAAAAACACAACCGAGAAACAGCAAGCAACCAATCCACCACCAACCAACAACGGACAACAAGCAACAACCACAACCACCACACCCACAACGGCAACGGCAGCGGCAGCAGCAGCAGCAACAACAACAACCTGCTCTAGCGCCAGCGCGAGCACCAGCAGCAGCAAAAGCAACAGCAACAGCAGTTGCAACAGCAACAACAGCCATTGGCAGCAGTAGCTACAACAGAAAAGGCCACAGCGACAACTTGAGCAGGCTGGATGTTAAAGAACGAGTCAGGTCAATTCTCCCGAAACAGATTCCCAGCCATCTACCCGTTGCCTTTGCACAGACCTGCACAAAAGTTGATTGACTAGTGGGAGTCAAAGGGTCGTCCTGCACTGCAAACTCCCTGTGTAATCAAGCGTATCGGCGATGCGCTCTCCCATAGGCCTCTATGTTTGGCATCAACGCAGATTGCAGCAGGTGGCCAGGGGTCCGTGGCTGGCGGGGGGTTCGAATGGGCAGGCCCCGCACAAAGGGAAGGCCGAGACGCAAAATCACTAGCCTGATCTACCCCGTGTATAGGTGGTACAATTGTCTCCTTACGGATCCGCAAAATATCCCAAGTGGAACCTGCAATCTTGGCATCTGCCGCTCGGCCAGGGCTTCGGGGACAACGAGTCGGTGCAGCTGGCGCTCTCCGCCACGGGCCCCACCATCACGGCGGCCGGCCTCATCTTCGCTTTCACCTTTGCATCTCGGAGGGTATGTGTCGCAGTTCGGATCCCAAACTTCGGGCTTCTTTACTTTCCCTTACGAAGGTCAAGGCTTGAGGGCATCCTCAGCAAACACACACGCACTGGAAGCCACCCTTGTTTCACAAGCATGTATTGGTTGTGTTGCGCTTGCTTTTGTTGTTTTTCCAAACAGCGGGTCCCTTCTATGTCAACTTACCAAGAACCGCAAGCCTTCCTTGGTGACTGCTTTGCTGGGTTGGATGTTCTTCCGAAAAAGGCATTTGTAAGCTCATTTGTTGGTGCCACTTGATCTTTGAATTTGCCAAGTAATTGAGGGACACTTGCCAGAGGGAGTAGTCATTTTGTCACTTGTTCTCCTAGCAATCTCGTTGTGTGAGCCACTTTGTTGTAGCGACCGGCCCACCGAAGATCACCCTTTGAATTATGTCGCATTGGTTTGAGTTAGACTCCTCCCTCTGGCTCAATTCTTCGAGAGGGGCGATGCTTTCCACCCGCACTTTTGACACTGGCGCCCGGTCAAATTTGGGGGCGTGGCGGGTGGACAGGCTTGGCGCCTTTACCCACTGACTGTGTGGGTTCTTCTTCCTACATCAGCAGCTTCGCTAGGAAAAGTAACGGTGGGCGGGTTGGGCTGCAAGTGGCGAGATGAGTGTTTGAAGCAGCATTTATGTGGATGTAACACGGCATGAGTCACCATTGGGTGGCGGGAGGGCGATGTCAACGCCCGTCGTGCCATTTTGGCTTCGAGGGGGGCGTTGCTGTCCCCACTTGCATCCTTGTCAAAAGGGCAGAAGGTGGGTACTTCTCAATCGGCCGGGTACCCACTTTCAATCGGTGTGGATGATTTGATTCCCAGATTGAGCTCATCTAATTGTTGGGCATTGCCTATCTTCTTCCTCACATCAGCAGCTTCGATAGAAAAAGTATCGGTGGGCGGGTTGGGCTGCAAGTGGCGAGATGAGTGTTTGAGCCACTTTGTTGCAGCGACCGGCCCACCGAAGATCACCCTTTGAATTATGTCGCATTGGTTTGAGTTAGACTCCTCCCTCTTTCTGGCTTCCTGCGAACAAAGCCCAAGCAATGCCAACGCTGCCACAGAGTAGATACTTCTCATGCTGTTTACGCAAGCCCCCTGAGACCAGCATGATGCTGGGGAGCATGGCCATCACCAACCAGATGGGGTTCGTCTTCATCTTTTCCATCGTGGTGGATACCTTCGTGGTGCGGACCGTGCCTCGAGCGTGCGTAGATCAGCAATGCTTCTCCCATCCTTTCCACATTGTCCCATTTTGACAAAGGAATGCAGTTTTGGAGGCCCCCCCCATATTCACCCATGACGCGATCGTCTCCGGTCGGCCAGCTGTTTTTGGTTCAGGTTTGGGAAGCAACCCTTAAGGCTATGAAGGGATTGAGTATTGGTAGAAGCATGGGGAACAGTTTTTTATTGTTTGCATTTCTTTTCTTATTTTTGAGATGATGAGGGGTGCAGTGTTCATTAAGAGGAGGCTTTGGTGCCAAAGACTGAATAGTGTTCGTTCGTTGGCCAAAATCTTGCGGGTCCCTTGAAAGAAGTATTAGCTGGCCATTTGAAGGGGAGGGCGAGGACAGTCTTTATCAAGGGGATTATTTATCAGGGCTAAACATTTGGGCGGTTGTCGAAAAAGTTGATAGTTTCACTATAGAAACACGAGGTCCGGAACGGGGCGCACTCATTATTTTTACATTTGTTTGCTGGAGGCAGGTGAAGGGGGGAACCCCATCAGGAACGTGTTTTTTGTTGGTGGGGGGAGGGAGGTTCTTCGCAGGGAGAAGGAGGGGCATGATATATCATCTCTTGAATCCAACAAAGGGATCCTCCTTGGAAAGAAGGTTTCTCCACCTACTCGAAAACCAACGCACAGGTTGCAGGCATGATTTTCCCTACTTTTGGTGGGAGTTCTTCCTAGTAGGGACATCTCCGTGAGCGTTTTTCACGTTGCCCGTGGGATTGCCTAAGCTGGCCCGTGGCCTTCTGAATCCTTGGTACCATCCATATCCAGGACGCCCTCTTGGCGCAAGGATTGCTCCGGGCCTCAAGTTGACAAAGAGTGTCCTTTGATTGCCCCGGGTGCTTCGATGGACGGGGTGGTTCATTGCATAAGGAAATGGGCGGGAGGTGCGCTGAGAGGTTTCGAGCCAAAAAAGAAGCTCACCAATGCAAGCCGCCAATACCCCAAGCAGTGGACAGTCGCTTTGGGGCAAAGTATTGGCACCATGTTCTATGTAGATAAGTAAAGGGGATGAACCCAAATGAAAGGGTTGCCATTTATTCTCCCCCTGTGTGGGCAAGCGTGTGTGGGAGAAATGTGTGTGTGTGCGCGAGACAAGGGCTTCACCCAGCATTCCCTTCAGCGGCATTAATTTATTTGCTGACGGCATCTCGTTGATACGGAGGCACAAGGCGATGGCGTAAAGTCCAATGGGCCAGGCAGTAAAAAGTCGCCCTGTGCAAGCTGAGCAATGGAAGTTCTCGCAGGTGCTGGTGCCCGCCATGCTCTCACTGAGCCCGTGCCTGAACTACTGGCCTTCCCGCATGCCGGAGGTGAAGTACACCTGGCTCGGGAAGTGAGGAAAAAGACAAATACTGCGGCTGGTACTGAACGGAAGGAAATGGCCTCCCCCAAAAAGGTTTCCTTTTAACTTAGATCGTTTGGTTTAGGTTATATATTTGTTTGCCAGGGAGTATCCTGCTGAACACCAAGGTGGAATTGAGTGTGAAGGGAATCTTCGAGAAATCGACGCTGCTCAAATGCGATTCAGCTCAAAACAGTGAAGCCATCAGTGAAGTGGTGCTGGGGCCTCTTCTCCTTTTCCAGGGGCCAGCTTTCCACGTGGGCTCTCTTAGTAGGCTTTCTTTGTATGGGGTTCTCAATTCGTTGATTGTCTTCGGCTTCGTTTCAATCAGCTTCCCCGGTCGCTGGCAAAAGCGATCGCAGGACGCCGTCTCGAAGATTCAACAGCGCTTCCCGGCCAAGGCTGGGGCGGAACTCGAGGCTTCAGGGAGCGCCCAAGACGACTTTGCCAAAGGTTCATTTACTGAAGGCTCTACTCCAAGCATGTGCCCTCGTCTTGTGCAGGAAGGCAACGTCCTTTCCAAGTGGCGTACTCTCACTGACAATACCCCGACTAAGCGCAAGAGCTTACCTTTGCCACGGCCTTCCATCTACACCGCTTCAACCTCTTGGCCTTTCGAGGAACGTATATTTGCCAAGCATGTGGAGCAAACAAATGACATTTGGCATGGGATCACATGCGGGAGCGTCCCCTCTTTGGCATGGGAAGACTGAAGGAAGCCACACATTCAAGACAGGAGGGTTCAAACATCGACAAAAAACAAAAACAACAGCAAGGATATTAAAACCGCGATCAAAACGAACAATCACGACAAGCAAATGGAGCAAACTGGAGGAGGATGGAGGGGAAATGGGGGAAGGATTGAGGAATGAGGATGGAGGAAAAAATGAAGGAGGATGTAGGATGGAGGAGGATGGAGGACAAATGCAGGAGCGAGGAAAAAATGAAGGAGGTTGGAGGAAGGATGGGGGAACAAATGGAAGAAAAGTTGTCCATGATTTCTCCTCGATCCTGCTCTTGAGGAACGCAGGAGGAAAGAGGAGACATAGAGGAGAAATGGAGGAGGATAGAGGAGAAATGGAGGAGGATGGGGGAAGATGGAGAGGATGGAGGTGGAGACACGGAGGAGCATAGAGGGAGGGAAAAGGAAAAACGGAGGAGGATGGAGGAGAAATGGAGGAGACGAGGATCTCCATCTTTTTCCATTTTCCTTCCTTTGCTTGTCGTGATTGTTTGTTTTCAATCGCCGCGTTGTGTTTCTTGTCGTGGTTGGTTATCTTCTTGTCGTGTTGGACAAACATGTTTCCTTGTCGTAGTTCAACCCCTCCTTCATTTGAGACCCTGCCCACTTTTGGACAGTTTCACGCAGAAAATGCTTCGCAAGGTGCTGCCCTATGCAGTGCAGGGCCCTGGCGGCATACCCCCCTCCTTCTACAGCTCGGGCTGCCCAGCGATCAGAAGCCAAGATGTTTTCTTGGTTTAGTGAGAAGGCTTTATGTTGGATGCATTCTACTTATCGCCGTCTAGTTTTCCAAAGGATTGGGCCAAGATCTGTTTTTGCTACCCCGAACCGATCGATCCATTTTTTGTGGGGGGGGGGGGGGCGGCGGCTTGGTTAAGTAACCAAGGTAACGGCGAAAGGTTGATCCTATTGGCCTTTGTGGCCCATCAAGGTTCCACTCAGTCCAAAACCGATTTTTTGACCTCTTGGTTATCCTATTTTGGTCCATGTTTAGTCAAGGTCCCAAACGGTTCAAATTGTAGTTCCAGGTCCCTTGGGCAAAGACTAATCTCAATAGACCCTTTGGGCAGGTGAGATCAGGGAATTAGGGAATACCCTCAGGCGATTCTGAAGCCAGGTACTTAGAGGACTTAGAAGACAGACAATCCCTGCAAACACCCATGTATCAAAACCCAGTTTCTGACCGCTTGGCGAAGCCAAGCAAGCATACCCAACTATTGTTGCATGCGCCCCTTGCTAGATCAGAACGTCCGAAACTCTCCTGCCGCATTTGCCACTCTTGCTTGGCCCATGGAATGTGAATCAAAGTCTGGTAAAGTGGTGGCAGGGGTCACGCTTTAACCAAATAAACTGCCGCAGTGCAGGGTGTAATTTCGGGCAACGGCGTGGCAGGGGCCATGAGTGAGCCAGAAATAGTGGAGGCATCCAAACGTGACAAGTCTTGATGTTTTCGGTGGCCAGCGCAATGGTCAGAGTCGTTTATGTTTTTTAGGTTTGAGGTTGGGCCGCTTTCAATGCTGTGGCATGCTTCCCGATCCAATATGATGCTGGCTGTCTCAACCCCGCACTTGAAGCCTGTGCATTTTAAGAGCTAAGTGCTTGGCGCTTCAGGGTGTGCTTTTCTTGAGGGTACCCATTTAACGTTTTGGTGGTTTCAAAGAGCAACGGAAAGGACGCCCAGAAAAGCTAGGTCCCCCTATGTTGACACACACACACACATGTTCGTGTGGCTTGCTGAAAGACTTTATCTTCTGCAGCTACCACTTGCGATGCATGTCTTGTCTGCTGGCTGTGAGTCACATTGAGTTGGGTCGCGGCGCTCTGCGTGCTCACGCTGAGGAGGAAGGGGATCCCCAAGGAAACGATGGTTCAGTTCGGGCTCATCCCATCCCTTCTCCGAGCCAGAAGGTTCATGTATCTTTGGTGCTAAAAGAGGCCAGAACCTTGAATTTACCCACAGGGAAAGCAAAATTGCCTATTTTTTCCAGACCTATTTAGCACCCATCTCAAGCTCACAGCAAGCTTTGCCCTGAGGCCTGTGGGACCGCATCGTGGAGTTCCTGCGGTATGAGGGGAAGGCGTCCGGGTCCAATTCGGATGGTCCAGATTTCAATTTTGTGCATACGGATGTACGCTTGCCCAGAGTGTGCGAGGGTGTTGTAAAGTTGTACCTGAGAAGAAGCTGTCAGCATCATTAGCACCGAACAACACTGGGGAGCATCAGCTGTTCATGAGTGTCTTGCGAAGAGCTTCATACGGCCGTTTGAAGCTGTGCTCTGAGGGAGTTTGCTGGCCTCTGGTAGGTTGAGGTTCACATATGTTTCGACATGTCGGAAACCCGTTTGATGGTTTCATTTTCCTGTCTACATGCACGTTCTACTTTTCATGAAGAGGCAGCCCGAGGGAACAGCAGGCCCGCAGAGCAGTCACCTGCTTGCGGCAGGTTACTAGCCGGGAAATCGGCGACCTCTCGTGCCATCGGGCGGGGGCCGGAGTGCAGGTCAGCGAGCCCTCCCCCCTCCCCCCCCTAGAGGCCTGGGCACAGGCTGTGACGTGTTCAAAATCTTACTTCGGTTTGCTTCAAACCGCAAGCTGGCCTCGAATAGGCTGTGTTTGAGGTTAAAGGAGTGGCAAGATGGGGTTCTGCTTCCTGTGAGCTCAGTGCGGCATCTAATGAGCGGCATTGCCTTTTTGTGTGGTACATCTTTCATCTAGTCCCCTCAAGCTGGCTAGGATCAATTTTGGTTGGCAACACGCCCCAAAATCAATTGTCCTGTGTTACGTTTTCCCTTTTGCAACGGCCTTCTCTTGGCCGCCAGACATGAAAAGCGAGGCAGCTGACCTCTAGTTGACTGGCGCCAGCTTCGCGCTTTGGCTGGCTGTCCTTCTCTTTTTGTAGGCAGGACATAGCTGCGCAGAGCGTGAATACCATCCGTTGTTTGGGTCAAATCAAGGGAGTGGGGACGATGCCCATTGATATTTGTTGTTGCCTACACAGGTACTGCGCAGATGCGGACTCCAACGTGCATTGGAAGCAGTTGAACTCTCCGTTGGCGGGGGTGGACCAGGGCAAGCGCGAGTTCCGCAGGCGCGGGGAAGCGGAGTTCAGGGGCCGAGTTGATAGAAAGGGCTCAAGGCCAAAGAGTCCCAAGATGCCACAGGTTGTAAACAGCTGTGGTTTTGAGTGGCCGAAATCTGAAAGAACGGGGCTGTGACCGAGATGCTCCTTGCCCGTGGTTACTTCCACGGTTGAATTTCGATTCAGCATGGATGCATGGCCAAGCATCAATCACAGGTGTGTTTCCCTTGCTCGAAAAGGCGGACCGGAATGATACCTTTTTTTCCTTGTTTGTTTAATCATTAGATGGTCCCCTGTTCAGAAATCGTTTCCCTGCCCTCTCCCGGAACCAAGGTTAGCCCAATCCGACCGCATAGCTGTGACTGATGGTCTCTTTTCACCCCGGCAAACATCTAGTGGGTTTTGGCTTCGCGTAGCTGCGAGGAGGTTTGACCGCCCGCATGAGACATTCAAACAAACATGTGAAGAGGTGCGTGCAGCTGAACAGGGCTGCGAATTGTTGAACGGAGGTTGGACAATTGCAACCTTGGCCAGACTAAGAACCCGTGCAAAAAGTTGTCGTTGAAAGAGAACATGAGAGACCAAAGAGGCAACAAGTCGAGTAAGAACGCGAATTCTGGCAATGCTTGCGTAAGGGCGAGCACCACTGCACGTGCGGGTTGGCAGAATGCGTGAGGAAATCCAATGCGCGATGGGATGCAACTGGTTGTTGGCGGTGTTGGGGGGACGTGGTTGAGCAGTGGGGGCTCCGTGATACATTCAAATGGTTTGGGGTCAATAAATTACTTTAATCTGAAGAGCATGAGCAGCGCGAATACCACCTAAATCCACAACACCCCAACCAAGAAACAACATGGCACTGGTCAGCATGTGCGCAAAAAGCACCTTCGACAAACATCGGCCGAACACCAAACTTCGAAACGGCTCGGTCCACCCTGAAACGGCCTGGCATAGCCTCTTGGCAGAATTTGCAGACATTCCATCATGATTGCATGCGCTCACTCTCAAACACATTGAATTTTCATTCTTGTCGTATGTGGTTACATTTGTCCCATGTGTTCGCCCTTTTCCAAAACCATGGCAGAAACAAACCTTGCTAGCGAATGCCTTGGCAGACAGGCCGCAGCTCTTCCGGGGTACCCGCCTGGCACCGGCCTCGTTTTTAGGGATTTGG